GCCATCATCAGAAGTAAAACACACATAACAAGTGGGGAGTTTTATAGGGAAAGGGTTTAACTCTTTGTAAACTTTAAATTAAAGGTTGTATGAATATTATACATGAAAATCAATATTTTTTCCTAAAGCTGAGCTATAAGTTAAATAATTCTTTCCAAGATCTGTTATAATTAATAATATTGAAATCAACAGTGTGAGTCACTATTTTCTTATTTACCAGATTTTGGTGAATGTACAGTTCACGATTCTAAATATGAATTCAATAACTGTTGTTCTCTACGGCACAGAGACAAGATTTCACTAGCAAGTCTTGATGCTTTCAAGACTTGCTCTGAAGACAGAAAGATATCTGCCCATAAAGTGCATTCATGAGTTACATTCTCTCTTTAGTTGACATTTCAGAAACCTAGATCACAAGAATTCATAAGTATCTCTGATGCATGTGAAGTTGTAAAGCAGTCCTCTGTATACAAAGTGAAGTAGAATACAATTATCCCATGAAACAACAGATAAGTTTCTTGACCATATTTGCTAGAAGTACTTTCAGCACTTCAGCTTGTACCTCTGTTGATCATTTGTGCTTCATTTCAGTGTATTTATGATGATATTTTTATTTTGTTTTACATTTCAACACTACTTGTTCGACCACATAGTTGGTCAGCATTTATTCTTAACATTTTTTCTGTAATTAAAGCATCTTTTCTTTGTTTGCTTTTACACTGAGTAAAATTTCTTTCATTCCACCTGTAGCAAATCATCTGTCTTTCTACATAAGTCCTCAAATCTCTAGTTGTTGCAAAGCTCAAGTAACTGTGTGCTTGATTTATCCTTGAAGTTTCCACAACCTTCAAACTACAACTTGTTTGTACACCATTTGCTATTGACACAAAATCAGCATGCATGAGAACTTCTAATATATAATAACAGTTTAGTTTTTGATTAATTGTAAAACATGTTGCTGATCAATAAGAGTAATAATATAAATCAAACACAAGATGAGTAATTCTGTTTTTGCATCTTACGACAGTCAGTGTAAGTAACTGGCCAAACTATTCAGTAGAAGCACTTTTTTGTATATAAAATACATAAGGTACTCCAGTACTAATAGATATTAAGTGTATTATTATTGATTAAATTTTTGTGGAAATTTGTCTGTGTAACAGTTTTTAGAGACACTTTAACCAACAGTCATTGACTCACCCACAAGCAGTTTGGTGAATAAAGAGATCAGCAAAATGTGTTTAGAAACCTGATAGGAGTCAATTTATATATGTAATGCTTAAATGTTAAGTAATCATTACAAAAATTGTCAGTTAATTAGCTATCTTATCCAGTCATTTCTGTATTAAGAGAAAATCTATTTGGTTATAAATTGCTAAATTTATGTTAGTTCTTAAGAAAATAGATAACGGCCCTATTTTATAAATAGGCCAGTTTATTTACGTTGCCAAACAGTATAATCTTGCAGTTTCTGTTAACACTTACAGACACACACACACTTATAATAATTACTACAAGTGATAAGAATCAATAATAACATCATTATTGTCGTATTATTATTTTTTTGTCCACATTTTTATTCTGATGTTGAAACATTACTTTGAAATTTGGTAGGGTTGGGATGTTTCTTAAATATTGTATATAAAAATATCTGTATATTACAATATGACATCGTAACAAAAATTATCTTTTTTTATTTTATTCTTAAATGCCTTTGGAAGAAAAATATATATAAAAATAATGTAGTTGAGCAATGCAAATTAACATTTCAGTTTTAAAGGCTGTTGCATCACAAACATCACATTTTGAAAATGTTATAATTAATTTGTTAAAATAATTTACATATTTAACTAAGTATCAGCTTGTAATTGTCTATCTCATTTTTAATTTGACTCTGAGCAAGAAAGACCAACTTACAATTAAGGATGTAAAACTTTTATTCTTTATTAGAATCCTTGAAATGAGGAACACAAAAATAACATAAACGAAAGAATTTCTAAAGTGAAACTGTTTATGAATAGGGATTTTGTATTAATTTCATTTATCC